CCCCCACGAATCTCACTCTTCCAGCCTTATGCAATTAAACAGCAATATTGCTGTGAATGACAGTAATATTAACTATATTACTGTTAAACACAGTAAAATTAACTAAACTATAGTTTAACACATTGATATTGCTATATTAATCTCTAGCACATTAATATTAACACAACAAAATTCATTATTATTGTATAATAAAGTAATATTACTATGTTGTCCGTTCAACAAATGTAAACAAAATAAAAAAAACCAAAAGAATTAATATTACTGTGAGTGACAGTAATATTACTATAGCAACAGTAATATTACAATAGTAGACAGTAATATTATTACGTTACTCCGTGAATAACTCGAACAAACAAAAAATCCAAACAAAATAATAATATTGATGTGGTTGACAGGAATATTACTATAACAACAGTAATATTACCGTCAACCACAGTAATATTATTGTGTTTACAGTAATATTACAATAATAGACAGTAATATTAATACGTTACTCCGTGAATAACTCAAACAAAACAAACACCCCAAAAAAATAATAATATTGATGTTGTTGACAGTAATATTATTGTGTTTACAGTTATTTTACTGTCAACGACAGTAATATAATTACGTTGACTTGTCAACAAATCAAAAAAAATAAAAAAAAATAATAATAAATAAAAAAATATAATATTGCATTAATTTACTGTCAACGGCAGCACAATTACATAAATGTAATGTAACGGCAGTACAATTACGTTAATTAACTATCATTGACAGTATAATTACGCTAAATTACTGTCAGTGACAGCACAATTACGGTCAACGTGTAGCGGCGGGCGTGGAAAAACAAAACAAACCAAACAAAAAAAAAAAAACTTAAAAAAACACTAAAGAAAGAGACCGCCGGAAACCGGCGAAAAAATCCGGAAGAAAAGAAAAGAAAAAAAAAAAAGAAAAAAGCAACAACAAAAAAAAAAAAAAAAGTCAACGCCGGAGACCGGCGTTGACCGCCGGTCAACGCCGGAATCCGGAAAAAAAATCCGGAAGGAAAAAAAAAAAAAAAAAAAAAAAGTTTAAAAAGTCAACGCCGGAATCCGGCGGCAAAAAAAAGTTTTTGAAAAACAAAAATTTTTTGAAAAAAAAAAAATTTTGGGTCAAAATTTAATAATTTGTGAAATTTGGGGTCAAATTGAGATTAAATTAAGTTAAGGATGAAATTGGAGCATATTAAATTATACTCCAAAAAAAAGTCAAAATTGAATTTTTGTGGTCAAAATTGAACTTTTATGGACAAAATTGATTAATTTGGATTACAATTAAGAATTGGGTATAAATGATTGAGGGTAATATTGGGATATACATGAATGTTTCCTTTAGTTATAATAAATATTAAAGGGATGGGCTTATTGGTGAAAGAGATATGTCCCCTATACCTAGAATAATAAACATGCTTGGTTGGGGACTTTTGCATAAAAATCCCTTTATATAAACCTCTATGTACTATTTCTATTTTCTAATAATTATTAGTAATCTCACACGTGCGATGCATGGGATTTGAATTCTTAATTGACGGTCACGGAGTGACTCCAATGGCAGACAAACGATCATGAGATGGTCGGTGCTTTAAGAAAATAGCTGCTATAATAACAACTCCTCATAAATTACAAAGAATCTTATATACAAACAACGATATTATACACAAAAAAATGACGCGATCATACACAACGTTTTGACTTGAAGCCCTAATTAAACCACTGGATTGCGCGCCAGTAATCAAAAGTCTCACTTAATTAGTTGGCACATACTCAGCACCAACTTTCACCACCTCCACATTGCCATCATCATCGTTTATAGTTCAAAAATAGCATTCGAAAATCAAGCTACTAAGCCTTGAAATTTTAGTTTGAATCATTTATAGTTAAAATACAATCTGAAGACCACCATTCTACACGAGAAAAAGAACCAAAATCGTGAATCTAATATTAACGTGGTTGAAGAGTAAGTTTTTAGGTTTTTTTCCCAATCATGCAAGTACCTTTTTTTTTCTTAAATAAAGCCAATAGTCTATTGATATATTTAAACTAATCAACTTCAACAAATTCACATCCAAAAATATTTTCAGAAAATAAAATTGTCAACAACAAAAAGTTCAATCAACTAAAAACCATCAAAAACTAACCATGACAGAAAAACGAACACAACAATTGCATACACACCGACGACCATGTATTCATTTATCAGATAAGTAATTCTAGCTTCATCAAATAAGTAATTCTAGCTTTGTTCATCTGCAGAGTCAATGGAGTCACTAACCTAAAGAAAGGTCAAGCGAACTATTGCCTTGCTCTTTGGAATGATAAACATAAAAAATAAGATTAAGGTTTTCTGACTTGAGCGTCGGAGGACAATCGTCGGGCCACCCCCGACGTGTTACCTAGTGTTTTCAACTGTTTTGTAGATTAACGAGTGGAGTCGTCCCTTCGACTACCTCGAACGTGTGGCAGTGACTCTCGGCATTATCTATCCTTGTGAGCTCAAAGACTCTTGGGTCGGCCTATTGACATTTGAGCAGCATGACTATTATACAAGTTTTATGAATTGTTTATTTCTTCACCATGTGCTTGATTTACTTCATGAATTTGATCAATTATTTGTGATTTATTTTATTTAAGTGATTGCTGAATTTCTTTATTTGTCTATAATTGTGGGTAGAAGAACTCTCGAACAATTTCATGTATTTATATTAGTGTTCAAGGCATGAATGTAGGATATGAATATACATGTATTCCTTGAGTAGTCATAATTGGAATTTGTACTTGATGTTGCATGTGGTTAATCGATTTGCATAGACATATCGTAGATTGGTTATGCATGTTAGGATTATAATTCATTGTGAATGTTCTTTATAATTTATTTTGTATTTTAGATTAACAAACTAATTCATTAGCTTGCATGATTAGGAGAATTTTTTTTCAATAAGTACACATAGGGAAAGACGAGATCCTAGGTTGTTCGATTTGAGTGGATCCTTCATAATTTTTTTTTTTTTAATATTAGTGCTTTGTTTTATGTAGTTAAATTTTAGGATTAATAAATCAAAATCCAATGTTGTTGCTTGGATAATAGTGATAATGTAGGTATTTAGAAGTACAAAATAATTTGCTCCATGTGGGTATGATATCCCGACTCTCGCAATTCTTCTTTATTACTTGTTAACGACACGTACATTTACCTACGTGAAAAATAACCAACAGTTAATAATGACAAACTTCTTGATAGACACATATAAATGATTCCTTCATAGAACTATGAATAAACGCCCATTTACGTGGATGCGAGAAGTTGACATAGTGCTATAAGAAACCAAATGAAAATGATTAGATTAAGATAAATGATTTTCTTTAAGGTTAGACTAGTAGCAATAAGTTTCCGTTGGAAATAAATAAATCGACTCCAAGGATACCTTCTTGTTATAGCCATACTTTAGTTTATTCAAATTCTTTAAAATCCATTAGTACCTTATTTTATTTATGGTAAATGAATGTCAATATTTCGTACCTCTTGACAAATGCATTTAATGATGCAAAGTAAATATTTACCTTATAGCCATATGCATTAAAATTCAAGCTTCAAGAAATTATTATGAATTTAACCAAGTGTACATATTATGCAATATCTATATTGATCATGGAATCAAATTTTGATTTTTATTAAGAATAGAGATATATCATGTTTTGTAACGGAAGCATAGTTACAATTTTAAGAGATGTATTATGTGATAATTTCTTTTTTCAAAATGATTTGAATAAATTGTATCTTTGGTTAAGGGTATCTCAAGTGAAATCAATACTGAAACTTGCGTCAAAACCAATTATATTCTATAGATCATTTGATGGGATATGTGAAATAGGACATAGATTTTCACGCATGAACAAGTTATATTGATTTAATATATGTCTTATTTATCATACATAAATTGAAAAACAATAAAAACTGTTTCATTCAGGCATGAAGTCATTACATCTAAGGATTAGTGTCTTTTGACACATAATATTATAGAGATGATATATGCAATTCATATTCCGTAGGAAGCCCTATATATGCTAATGTTAAATTCGAGTTTTACTCTACAATTTGCTAAGTTTACAAATATGAATTTACTGTTAGGCTGTAAACTAAATTGCGGTAAAGTATATTTTTTAGTGTTCAAGGATACGAGATTATGTACAGTTTATTAGGAAAATAGTCTTTTTAGCGTCTCAATAGTTTCGATCACGTAATTTTTAGCATGTTAACGCTTCGAAAAATTTATTTTCCTAAGTGGAAATGTATGGTGAGAGGTATAAACATTGTTTCTATTACATATTCTACTCGAAAAACAACGTTTGCTTCTACATCGGATCGTAATCCAGTAGATTCATTGTTCGGATTGATTAGTGGTGTTAAGCTGCGAGTTTTTGCGTTTAAGTGGAAGATTATTGGGATAACTTAGATTAAACTCTCGTTTCTATCAACATATTGTTATTTATGTATTTATTAGGGTTAAATGCACTTTGCACCCATGTACTATAGAAAGGTCACGGTCACCCCCCTATACTATCAAAAACTACAAACACCCCCTATTTTTAACAGTCAATGGTCAAATAATTGACACCGTTAAAACTAACGGTCCATTTACTTTCACCCTCACATTTACCTGAATAGTGTCTATTTTTTTCCTTCTCCAACAAAATTGCACGCCTACTGCAGTTCCTCACGGTCCCCACCATCGCCCCTATCACCCTGCCACCCACCACCAAGATCTTGAAACCCCTGAGAACTCCAAAATCGCGACAATACGATATGTGATTTTGGGGATTTCCTTTGTAATCTCTGAGTGCATTCGATTTAGTCCATGAAAATCATAGAAACATTCTCAGGGAGCCCAAACTTTTGCGTCGCCGACAACAGAACTCGAGCGCGCAACAAGAAAAAAATTGATAATACGAGTAACCAAAACCGGATGAAATTGGGTTTTTAGATGGAATATATGGGATGAGCTTACCTTCGTGTCTAGTCGGTCGAAGTGGGACCCGGCGAAAACAGGTATCTGATCGAAAAGGATTTCATCCTGATATGGTTTTGGGTAATCCGATTGGGTTCACCTTGGTTTTTTGGGTGCATGCCATAATCAGAGGTCAGTGCGAGGAGGATTTGTTATTGGTATGTGCAGATCCCGACAAAAGCATATCGATCCAATCTTGTTAGTTTGCAACACCCATATACCCACCATTATTAGGATTGATTAGTGGTGTTAAGCTCCGGGTTTTTGAGTTTAAGTGGAAGATTATTGGGATAGCTTAGATTAAACCCTCGTTTCTATCCACATATTTTTATTATGCATTTATTATAATAATATCCATCATTTATGAGAACCCGCAACGGGTCATCTAATTTATTATTTTGCATGAGAATTGTATTCTAATAGTATTTGAGATGGCTTGTTGACTATGATATGAAGATCATTTTGGAAGTTCGTTTAAAATATATTGTTAATTATTGGTTGTTAGAGTAACTGTTGGAATAAAGATAAACTCGTAATTGCTCGAATTATTTTGTTTTTACCTATATTTCTTGTTTAAAGCTATTAAGGGATATTTCATGTGAGATAGAATTGGGGGTATCTGAGCTTAGAAGCACCCAAGAGAGTAATGTCATTAAGAGAAAATTGTGCATAAAACCGTAGAATTAAAGGCCATTTTACAAGAACAACCGGAGATCTTAAAATATGAGACATTAGCAAAGAAAAAAACATCTCCACAAACAAAACATGCTTTTTGAGGATGACATATTTTAAATCTCTTTATAGCAATAACGTTTGGCGATCAATACTTGATTCCATGTCTTCAACACTAGTAGTATGATCGTAAAGATCCCTTGTGAAGCTCGAACTCGTGTCCAAGAAATAGAGAACAATTGACATTACACAGCAACATAAAAACATGGGAATTGCTCCGAAAACCCACAAGAAGAGAGGGAAGGACAAGTAGAACGCTCGTAGGCCAAGTGACCAAAAGAAGCCTCCTCTATTCAGGTTTGTTGCTGCATACTCAATAGCTTCTTTTCTGTCTCTGTATATCGGCACGGTGAGAAGAAAGCTAGCATGTGCATAGTACCTAATGGATTGCAGATTGCAAAGAAAGGCAACAAGAAAGCATACTAAGATAGCAAAGAACTTCACAGACGACACGCTCGAAGATTTATACTCCATTAATAATATTAATCCAGAGGAGGAAGAGCTACTTGTCTGGTTGTTGCCCACGTACACACTTATTAACGAGCTTAGTGTGATTGCTGTTGTGGCCAAAAGTGTCGACGCCATTATGTTGTTGCGTAGTGTTTGAATCGCCAAAACACCGTTTTTCAGTGGATCCTGCAGTTAAATTTGACCAAAAAAGTTGGGTTTAATTAATGCAACAAATTAAATTTGTCTGTTCACTTAAAGAAAATATTAATAATAATTATGTAAAGGGAGAGAAATGAAGAAATATATATACTAACAGCCATCAAGCAGAAAACCCATTTGTGGCGGCTCTCAGCATTGAGACCAATGACAGTTCTTCTAGGGTTGTTTAAAATGGTGAAGAGAAGCCAAAAATGGTAGGACAAAAGGACACCCATACCCAAAGGCACTAGCACCATCTCAAGCTGCATGCCCTCCCTTTCAATTATTATTTTTGAATTTTGATCCATTTGCATTTGGACATTGATAAAGATACATCCCAAGATGAATATTCACTACAAATGCGTCCCGATTAAGTGGACAACATGAGGTGCATTATATATATAATACTCCTGGCCCACTTCTTTATTTTTTTTGGGTACAGGTGGAAACAAAAAACATAGATATTTTTTTAAAAAGATAAATCAGATATCATCAAATGAGACAAGATCAGCTAAATATTTTTTTTTGTTGAAGACTCTGACTCCATTGACATCACTAAGTTCAATGATATTAAATTACTAGATAATAAGATAGCGCTGGGTTTGTTTGTTAATAAACTTTGTTGCTGTCAAGGAAAGTATATATAACTGTATTATTTGCGAACATACACTAAACAATACACTGCAAGGAACTAATATATAGCTGTCTGTTTCATTTTTATTATTGGCTTTATTTTCACACATAATTACTTAAAAGACTATATTTTATTACGTGTATATATATATATATATATATATATATATATATATATATATATATATATATATATATATATTTCTCACTCAATTTTCTATTGATGGACCTTATATTGTAATTGGTGAAAATATTTGTTAGAAATCTTTAGAAGAAAATGTAATCTTGAAATAACTTGATAACAAAATAGCTGAAGTATTTATTTTCTTTAGATATGTTTTTGTGCTAAAAATCTATAATTTATAAATAATTCTAAAGGATTGATGAATATACAAATTTGATTTGACATTTAGCATCCTAAATAATTAGCATTAAAAACATTGAATTAACTACATTAGTTTTAAAAATTTATTGTGCACATGCATGATTTATTTTCTTTCGAGAGTGCATAGTTCTATTATAAGTTTTTTTCAAAGGTGTAATGCCAAAAACTATATTTTAATGTTGCAAACTGAGATTAAGCCATTCTCCTTCTAATTTTGCTAATTTTGCTGCAACTATATTTTTCTTTCTAAATTTACATTATTTTGTGTATCTCGGTGACTTAAGAGTCTGTTTGGCTAAGCTTATAAGCTGTTAAAAAGTGTCTGGTAAAAAAATTACAAAATATCTTATTTTTTCCAAAAATAAACTGTTAGGGAGTTTATAAGATGTTTTATTAAAATTACCTCCTCCCCACCTTTTTTCTTTAAGATCTTATTTGCTTATTTACTAAAACACTCAAAATACAAAATTACCCTCAAATACTTTATTATATTACATGAATGTGAATAACATTTATATTTTATCAAAACAACATATTCTTATAATCAAGATTAATTAATTAAAATATAATTATTATAATAATTGTAAAAAAATATTCTCTATTTATATTTTATATGTATATATAAAAATATCCGAATATTCTTATTATCTCAATAATAAATTATATTTCTTTTATTTATGAAATTTGTTTTGTTTCTTTTACGTCCTATATTTTATATTAATATATTATGCGACAAAAAATTAAAACTTTCACAAACCTAATTCATTAAAATAATCTATCACACTTCATTTTATTTTTAAAAATAGTCAAATATCATATAAATATACATACAAAAATCATTTAATTTATTTAATATATAATTTTATATTATTATTATTTTTGTTCAAAAAATTAATATGTAACTATTAAAATAATATTTTAGGAACTTAAGTATTTGAGTCACATAAGTTTAACCGTTATAATGGCGTCATGTACTTTTTTGTCATTATAGCGATAAACAGACCTTTTATTTTCAAACGCCTGAACAACTTATAAAAAATAAAAGTAACTTATAAGCTATATATCCAAACACCTTAAAAATAATTTTTAAAATAAGATCTAACAGCTTATCAGGTCCTAAAACATATCAGATGTAGGAGCTTATAAGATGTTTTAAATAAGCTTAACCAAACGGAAATGTGTAAAACTCTCAAATCCATATCATGTATGAAACTAGCTAGGATACACAATCAATTTTTTTCTAATTCATGAAATTTAAGCCCACACTCCTACATTAATTTCAAAAACTCCCCAATTTCTATAGACACCAATTTTTTAATTTTTATTTTTTGGCCAAAAAAGACTTTATTATTCCATAAAGGGCAAATTGCGCATCACCTCCTATAAGTTTCTAATTTTTGCACTTTACCCCATCAAAATTTTTAAAAGTGAATGTTCGCCTTCATAATATTATTTTTGTTGCACATTGCCCCGATAGCAAAACTCTAATGGATTATTCGTCAGAATTGAGTATTTTTGTTGTACGTTGCCCATTTAAATGTTATTTTTATTGCACATTGCCCTTTTAAAAACACTAGTTTTTTGCACGTTTCCCCTTTAAAATGTTATTTTTGTTACACAATGCCCTAAAAAAATTGGCTTATAGGGCAAAGTGCAATCATAATAATATTTCAAATGGGGAATATCCATTTTTTTTTTTTGAATTTTTAGGCGAGAAAGTGCAAAAAATGAGAAATTTATAGGGGTCCTTCCATTAATATCGAAGTTTTTGGGGTCTCGTTAAAACCTTGTGGGTCTACACAAGAAAAAAAAGTAACCCTACAATGGCAATAAAAAGTGAGAGAGACTCCTAAACTTTTCTATTACAAAATTACCCCCAAAAAGGGGCGAAAGAGAAAGAGACTAAAACTAATGAAATTGCATAAATGACCCCCACTAGTGCTGAATGCAAGTAACGGCCGGGAATGCACATGCACGGAGACTTCAACTGTACCAGACTCATTCTGTCCACTCATCATGAAGCTCGACGAAAGTGGGGGAGACCAATCCTATCTAACACCAGTTCCGATCGAATATTCCGAGGAAACTCGAATGCCTCTGTATAACTTCTCCTCTCCTTGTGCTCATGAGCCGATTTAGCTAAAAATACACATGTTTCCATTTAGAAAAATACACATGTTTCCTAAAATGTCATTTTTCAAAGTTAGGTTGTAAATGTGTACAAATAGTGTAATTTTATTGGTTGATTTATTTCCAATTTTAAATTGAATTACACACAACAATTTATTCATTTTAATTGGCTGATTTTTATCCACATGGCTTATAAATTAGCCCATTCTTCCCTCAATAGTTGTTACTTTCGTTAGTTGCACCCATATTAAAAAAATCAATAAATAAGCATAGATATTAACAAAAAGTATTGTAAATCACTAATATGCCCATACCATTAATTGATTTTTAACAAATTATATTTTAATTAATTATGAGTGAGAGGGGCAAAATTGAAAAATTGCAATGAATAATTCTTTGGGAATAGTAAAACGACAAATAATTTGAAACATAAAAAAAATGGCAAAAGTGACAATTATTAAGGGAATGAGGGAGTAATAATTAAGATATATTATTTAAATGTTTCCATAAATAAGCTTCAGCTAATTCGGGAATTCTAATTTATATTTTCCATAGTTTATTCTGTTTATAGAATAACTTTTTTCTTTCGTTTCAATAAAATCCTTAATTTCCGTTTCAAAATATGGCAACAATTCATTCCGAAAAATTAGGGGCATATTACGGGTTAATAGCAATGTTTTGAAAACTAGAACGCACATCGGACCTGACAACCAATTAGGTTACGGTCGGACCGGTTCGACCAAGGTTCTTATATATTTGGGGCAATTTGCTATATGTCCTCCTAGAGTAGATTTTATGACTATAAATCTAACTAATAAATCCCTATTTTAATTAAATTTATTGCACTTATTGTATCTAAAATATCCCTTACAATATATGGAATAAAATCCCAAAATAATAGACAACTTAATACTTGATTTTTATCCCAAAAGATCCGTATCAACCCCTCTCTAAAATCTCAACAATCCTGAAATTAAAATTCATCGGCAAAAATTAAAAAAGCCAAAAATTAAAAAATTAAAAAACCTAGCCAAAAATTGCATCGTGTATGCATAGCAAGGGCCTTCGGGTTGTTTTGAAATCTTCAAATTTCGTTTGTTGTTTGTGATGTGGTAATTGCTTGCTCGTTCTTCGTTTGTTATTTTGGAGACACCGCTTGCTATTTTGGGATTTTTTTCGTTCTAGCTTTGTTTAGTGTTTGCGATTTTCACTCCTGCAAATAATGGTTTAGACACGTACAAGTCTCGGTAAGCAACAAATGTTATGGATATTATGCAGAAAAGTAAATGTCTGGGTATGTAATTACCTTTTTTGCATTTCTCTCATTTGTTTTTAAATGCTTTGATGATGATTTAATGACAGATGTTATAGATTTTTTTTATCTCAGGAATTTTTTTTGCTGATACATGAGTATCTATCTCGTTTATTATCCACACATTTCAAAGGTTTCGATTTACATATTTTGTACATTTATTAACCGTACTTTTTATATTGTTGTTTGTATTTTTTTAATTTTTTTTGCAGTTGCTTGATGACAGTTATCGTTATTTGTATTTTATCGTATGAAATTTGCTTTACATTGTGCATTATTGAACATTTATATTTACGTTTATTAGTTATTCTTATGACAGTCTCCGTTTTGTTGTTCTCGAGGTCTGCTATTTATTGTTGTTCATTTGGTTTGCAGTTTGCAGTTTGCTGTTTGTTTATAGTTGAACCAACATATTCTTGTTAGCAGTTTTTTGTTTGCAATTACAAGTCTCTTTGTTTGCAATTTCGCGTTTGATATTCATTATTTGTAATTTCTTGTTACTTTGAAGTTATTGTTTACAATTGCAGTTATTGTTTGTAATTTGCTATTTCATGTTTATTTTTGCAATCGAAAATCTTACTGATATTTTTTTTTGTGCCTGCTCAAACAATTACGTCAAAAAAAAAAAGGACGAAAAATTACATGACTCCTCAATGTCTTCAATGTCTTCTCGAAAGGCAAAAACAAGAGCAAATCAGACTACAAACAAAGCCCTAAAAAACGACGACTTTCGTAGAGAACATTGTAGGATCATTAGTTCCATATTGTTGTTGTGTAAAGGCATTTGTACAATAACATTTTAAACATAACTTTGTTGGTTTTCATATTCTCTTTGTTATGCTATTTATTTTGTTGTTGGAAATT